ACCCTAAACCCTAAACCAAAAGAGCAAGAGGAGGCCTGGGATCTCCACGCGGGCAATGGGCAGCGTCCCCAGGGCGTCCAGCAGGAAGCGCGCCCTGGCTAGGGTTTAGGGGTTTAGGGCTTTAGGGGTTTAAGGGTTTAGGGTTTAGGGGTTTAGGGGTTTAGGGGTTAGGGTTTAGATTTAAATTTAGGGGTTTAGGGTTTAGGGTTTAGCGGTTTGGGGTTTGGGGTTTGGGGTTTAGCGGTTTGGGGTTTGGGGTTTAGGATATGGGATTTAGGGTTTTGGGTTCAGGGTTTGGGGGCTTAGGGTTTACGGTTAAGGAATATACCTGATAAGTTAGAATAGAAAACCTTATATGAGTTAGGGCATATTCCTTAATCAAAAGTTTTTTGAGTCACTGGGCTTCGGGTCTAGGTAGGGTTCAGGTAGGGTTTAGGGTTTAGGGCTGGGCTTCCGGTTTAGATGCAAGTTAGCGGTAAGGGCGGGTTACGGTTCAGGGTCCAAGATACGGCTTTGCGGTTTAGGCTTAGGGTTCAGAGCATAGGATTCGGGTTATGGCTCCGGGTTTTTTCCACGGTTTTAGGAACAGTAGCTTTATAGAGGGTTAACCGGCTAGTGTCCAGGACCTTAGGTTATCGGATCCTTAAGGGAGGGTGGTTCAAGCGGGGAGGGTCCTAGGGATCCTTAGGGAGCTTTAGGGAACCTAAGGGAGCCCTAGGGGGAATTGGGGATTATTGGGTTATCTACCCCTCTTAGAACCCCCCTTCCTTAAGGATCCCATAATTAGAGATCAACCCTAAACCCTAAACCCTAAACCCTAAACCCTAAACCCTAAACCCTAAACCCGCCTTGGGTTTCCGGTTCCGTGCCTAGGCCCAGGGATGGTAGCTTGACTGCAGCAACCTAGGGGCCTTAAGAATTAGAATAGGGTTTCACAGGGTTCCTAGAAAGGGCTCCTTAAAAGGGTTCCATAAGGGCTACTATAAGGGTTTAGGGTTTGGGAGCCTTAACAACTAGAATGGGGTTTTGGGGCTCTTATACTATAGTTCCAATAAGGAACCCCAAAAATAGTGTTGGTATTTATTTAGACCCCTACATTGTTTGTTAAGGGGTTTGCGTAATACAACGGATTAAATAACCACCAATACCATTTTGGGGTTCCCTATCATGATTCGACTAAAATGTACCCCGAAAACCCTGCTTCTAATCATTAATGCTCCTATTTTAGCGTTTAAGATAGTGCGTCCGGCGTAAGTGACTCGCTTTTGGAACATCTGCCTTGTTCTACGAATGTTGATCTTGAAGGCTTTGTCAAAACCACCATTCTTAGACGAGCGGCTGCCATCATTAGGCCCATGGCTTAGGGTATATACTCCAGAATGATTGAACTCAGCTGGGAGATCGTAGTACGACACGCCACAACAATACCTTCTGCATTGTTCGAAGCTGGGCTTTGGTATTATAGGGTTCCACAGTTGAGGGTTGGTAGCTGCCGGGCCAACAGCGACAGCAGCACCTAAGCCACTCCGAATCCAATAAAGTCATGTCAACATCAAGCAAGTAATCAAGTTGAAGCGAGATGATCGGAACAAAGCCGGCGCTGGCCCTGCTTTGTCCCTAGTCCCTAAGCCGGCAGTGGGAAATCTTTGACACGTCAGACCAATATCGCAGTCAATATAGCGGCCTTGAACAATTAGAATAGTGTTTTGGGGCCCATGATACTAAAATTATAACAAGGAGCCTCCCGAAATAGTATTGGTAATTATTCAGGCTCCTAAACCCCTACACCCCTAAACCCAAACCCCAAAATTATATTGGTACTTATTTAGGGCCTACCTCAACACGCCACCATACGAAAGTCAACCCCCATGGCCCGCATCCTCCAGCCCAAGCGACGCTCAAAAATGCAAAGGTGCCTGAACAACCATAACCCTAAACCCTAAACTCTAAACCCCAAACCCCCAGCTGATATAAACCAACAACAAGTAGCAACAAGTCAAGGGACTTTGGGTTTCAGAATGCACCGAAAGACTTGACCGTTAAACACGAAGCCTTTTACCCTCAAAGCGATCTAAGAGCGGTGCTTTAGGGGTTTAGGGTTCAGATTTTCGGGGTCTACTAAACTCGAAACACGAGCTGAACTCTAAACCCGAACTCTCCACAGTAAAGCTGAAACTATAACTGTTACGGTGCATTAGGGAACATGTAATCTACGCTTGAAACCATGGGCCCCTAGTATGGGCCCATTAACCCTGGGATCCTTATACACCTGCTATATACCCTGTATGTACCCTTGAGGGTCCCTAGAAAGGCATAAAGCTCCATATCAGGGGCCCATATCTCTAACCTTAGACTTAAGAGGATCCCCAAAACAGGAGCCTCTGAACCCCTCAAACCCGAAGCCCCTCGGCGCCTTCTGGGCATAAAGGCCGACTCCACTAGCTCATCGAGGTCCTGTTTAGGTTGGTTGGTTGGTTTAGGGGTTTAGGGTGTAGGGCTTGATTTAGGGCACCCATATCGCATATAACTCTGAGGGCTGGCATACGATACGGTTTAGGGGTTAGGGTTTAGGGTTCAGTCCTTTACTTTGCGGGAAACGGCCTGGGGTTTAGGGTTTAGGGAACTCCACTAACGGATCTACTCTCTGGATGCACCCCGAAGCCTGGGTTGGTGCTTGAGTATTGCTGTTACCGTCTACTGCTCTATGCCTGAAACGTCACGAGGATTTGTTTTCAGGGAATAGGATGTTTTGGTTCGGGTTGGGTTTGGGCCATAGAAATTGCAGATGTTGGAGGAGGTTGAGGAATTCAGGTTTGCCAAACACGGGTTTTGTGCAGCGGTTACAGTCGATCAACCACAAATCCTGACCCCGCCGTAGAACCTTAGGCCCTAAATCCAAATCAGAAGTCGATCTTAACCCTACAGCCCGAATACAATCATGCAAGCCCTGAACCTCGGAACCGCCCGACTGTCTAGATGACGATAATGGCATCAACTTACGCCCCCGCTCCCAAAAAAAAAAATGTCATCTTGAGTCTGACTGCTGAGGATAATCTTTCAGATTGTCTCCGTCCGCGAGTATGAAATAAGCGCTGAAGAGCGTCCTACATCTTGCTGAAACACATGAGGTTAAGGCAAGTTCCGAATCCTCCCTGGCACCCAGGTTAAGGGTTCATAGGCTTCAGCGTACGCAAACGAGATCACAAAGACCCTATGGAGCAAGAAAAGCCTTGCCCACCCCGGACCCCAGGTTAAGCCTGGGATTTCAAGTTTAAGGGTTTAGGGTTTAGGGTTTAGGGTTGAGGGTTTAGGGTTGTAATTAACATGACGGCCTGAACCATTCGGAAAAGGTCTTGCGGTGTAGTACACCAGAAATCTAAATTCATCAAGCAAGGAACCCTGAAGAGTCCTAATACTCATCTAGACTTTTAAGCAGCTACAATACCCTAAACCCTAAACCCTAGCTACAATAGCGTTAAGGAAGCTAAGTGTACCGACGTGGCAGGCACCCGTCCAGGATGAATGCCAGGGCCACCGCATTGAGGATCCTCGTTCGGTCAGACTCTGGGCTATGGCTTTCCAAGCGATTGGGTTTAGGGTTTAGGGTTCAGGGCACACATATAGATTTAGAAACAGATGGACAGAATAGATAGATAGACAGATAGATAGATAGGTAAATAGATAGATAGATAGACAAGTAGACATATGTATATATGTATATATGTATATATGAAACATCTGCATATATGGCTTGCGGGCTCGGACAAACACAGAATAGCGATCAGAGGATTGGGCTGCTTTAAACCCCGAAAAGTAAGGCTAAACGTCACAAACCCACAGTGTGTATATAGATATATATATATATATAGGCCCATAGGCATGTATGCACATGCATATATACACACCCACAAATCCTCAACCCTAATTAATTCCCGCATGCCTAAAAGTACCTTCTCTGGCCCGCAGGGTTTTATGTATTCAACAAGCCCATATATAGATTCAGCTAGACGGCCCTTAGTCCTGAAACTTCACCCACGACAGCCATGAACTCTACCACACTAGAACTGAGCCCCGAAGACCCAAACCTAAACGCTGAACCCCAAGCCTCTGAACCCGAAAACACTAAACCCTGAAGCCCAAACCGCTGAAGCATAAGCCCATATAAACCCTCAACCTCCGAATCTTCGCAGCGAGAGTCAAGTCTGCGAGGCTTAGAGTGTTCGCGAGGTAACGCGTGCCTGGGCTGGGCCTTAATAAGTGGAATGGTTTTGGGGTATTTTATACTAAAATGTTCATCAGGAACCCGGAAAAGTAGTATTGGTAATTATTTAGGCCCCTATTTTGGAGCTGATGAAGAGTAGGATTCACGGTTTGGGGTGCAGGGCTCTCGAGGTTAAGGGTTTCACGGGTTTTTGGTTTTCGTGCCGGTGTTTCGGTCTCTATAGGGTTTAGGGTTAAGGGTTCACAAAAGATCTACCGTCTCAAGTCAATGGAATACAGAAGGAACATATATGACAAGAAAACCTGTGCATGTCGGCAATTGCTTTGGCATTGTCACCAGGCAGGGTTTTGGCATCCAGGCGTGTGGTTTTTGCGTGCCTGCTATCCTGGAATCAGTGGTCGTACGTGAACACGGCTTAACGCGTAAAGGTTTGGGACTCAGAAATCCACACAGCAGCATAACATTTGGGATTTAGGCTTTCAGGTTTAAGTACACCATGAGACTTCTGACATGACATGGAACTTCTGAACAAGGGACGTTGTACACCTGCATACTGCCGAGAGTAAGGGACCAGAGGATAACTGACACTATAAGAAACCTCCACACAGGTTTAGGGTTCAGGGTTCAGGGTTTAGGGTTTAGGGTTTTAGGGTTTAGGGTTTAGGGTCTAGGGTTTGACATGCAACCTCGCCAAGTTCTCGAACCAATTCGCCGAACCAAAAAAGCCCCGAATTAACCCCAAACAGCAAAAAGCCTTGCAGCAGAAAACCGTACCTGACCCTCCGAACATGCAGCCTTGAGTTGCCTGTGATCGCCAGAGACACTGCCACCACCAAGCGCGGCAAAGCGACAAAGAGGAAGAGCACCCATTTCCTAACGCGAGCCAGGAAGAAAAATCACTCGTGATTACAAAGTTTATGGCTTGTTTAATTTACTTTTGCAGTCATAACCGCATCTGGTATATACAGTTACGGCTCTGGTTGTAAATGGAACTACGTACGTAATGCCTTTCTTTAATCGACGAGACATGGGGGCGCGATCAAGTCGAGACCGAGCATCCGAAATTGTGTCATCTGCGTTATCACAACCTCGGCGGGTGCAGCGGGGTTCGGAGCTGTTTGCGACATGCGTCGCTTCAAATCCGGGGGAGTTCCAAGCTTTGAAGGCTTTTGGCTTCGCTTGCATTTAAACATATAACAGATTTAGTTTGAGGCGCTCTTTTTTCGCCGCGAGAATTGCTTGGGCACTTCTGAGTGCCTGCAATGTACAGCCGCTCGGACCCATTCCGAAAATTCAATTCATGCGGCATTGTCATAGTTAACCATGGTCACCCATAGGCCCCATAGTAGTTCCTTTCTGTGTCTTTTATTTAGGATCCTATTAGGTAATCCCAGAAAGGAACTACTAGGGGCCTATGGTTAATGGCATCAGCCGCAAACATGTACACTGACAACAGGACTGCCAAGAATAAGAACCCTGCCGATCCAACTTCGAGGCTTTGGCTTGGGTTGAGTCTGATTCTTAAGAGTAATGTAGGTCCTTAATAATTAGACTAGGGTTTTGGTGTTCCTTATTATAATTAAAACATAATGTACACCAAACCCTATTCTAATTATTAAGGCCCCTGTATAAGGCTCAGTCTGAGGTTCGGCTCAGGGCTCATTCTTAACGAAAGGTTCGGCTCGGGTTTAGGGTTTAGGGTTGAGGGTTTAGGCCCCGTCCTGAATTTTGAAGATGAGGCGCGCATGACCTAGAGACAAATATATGCAGCTGAGGACGAAACAAACCAGAATCCTTACATGCTCCACTTCTCTCACATGTAACCCTAGGCCCTAAGCCCATATAATACATGGCCGCATGGGAGAGCAAGACAAGCACCTAAACCCTCCTTCAACCCTCTTTTAAACACTAAATACTGTTAAGTTGGGAACATATACCTCTATTTGAGGGCGCAAGGAGGGTCCTGGCAGTGATATAAATCCTGCATTACCTTGAAGACCCTAAACTATGGGAATTGTGGTATATTCCGTATTATGGGTCATGCAGGATTTTATCCTCAACCGTAGCAGCTCGATTCGTGCGTTCTCTCGACAGCTCGAACCACGAGCTGCTCCACACGAGAAAGTTCCCAACCGCAAGCCCTATACAAGCTAAACCACGCAGTAACATAGGGGCCTTAAAGATTAGAATAGGGCTTGGGGGGTATATCATACTGTAATTATACTAAGGACCCCTCCAAAACTTGTATTAGCAATTATTTAGCCTCCTATAGTACAAGCTAAACCAACCATGCACTACACCCCGGTCCTATCCCGTTACAAGAACTGCACAAATGCTGTTTATGACCCAGGGCACGTCAGCGCTGTCGTCCTCCTCGCCGGCCGCCATCAAGGTGCTCTCGCCTGCATTAAGGACTCATTCATTTGAGGCTTTACCCATAGGCCCCATAGTAGTTCCTTTTTGGGATTACCTTATAGGTTTCTAAATATGAGCCCCAAAAAGGAACTACTTTAGGGCCTATGGGTAGGGATGTAGCGCGAAGGAATTTTCGTTGTCTATGGCTAAGCCTCAAGACCTAGCGCAGAACTAACATGGATCTCGAGCTTTATGGAACAGGAAATAGCACTCGGAAGGATGCAAAATCAAATTGCGGCCGTAGCACATGTACTGGACGAGTGCAAGTTGAGGCAAACCGGTTGTATGCGCTAAAGGACTTATAATCGGACCCTATCCAGTCTCCAATCGCCTCTTCCGTGAGCTACGACTACGACTGCGACGACGATGACGACGACGACTACTACGGCTAGTTGCTGCTTCCACTACAGTACTCTGTCGGTGCCAAGACATCAAGACCCAACACTCAAGATTCTACCGATGACTTTGCGCTCACGGCAGCCTATTGGGTATCTGCGGATGGCGCTGACGAAGCCCATGATGTTGAATAACTCCTGCACGGGCATCTGGGGCCACTTTAGTACCCAAGCCCTGCAGGAACGTGCAGTTCTCTGCTCTTTCGCGGCAATCGTTTCTCGAAGTTACGCGGATCCTACATCCCAATTACGCCGCTCATTGTGCAGTTGCTAGTTCCGCCCGATGAGGACTATATAGTGCTTTGAGGGCAGACAGCTGGTACTCGCTTTGAGGTCGTGCAATTTCGCGGGCCTTGATGTTCCGGGTTTGGGTTGAGGACGAGCATCGGGAACAGAATGGCGCTGTCCCCATCCCTAATGGGGTGGAGACAGAAAACGGGAAAGAGAAGAGGAAGATACATACATGTGTGTAGATGCTGCATGTAGCAAGATGGATGTTGGTGTGTTAGTGTGTGTGTGTGTGTGTACGTACGTACGTACGTACGTACGTACGTATGTATGTATGTCGGTGTATGCCTATATGTATATCATACATATTACAATTACAACTTATGTAAAGCATGCATATAAGTGTGCGTATATGTTACATAATCAAAAGATACACATGCAAACACAGGCTACCTAGACTACGATGCTTCATCGTCTCCCCAATTTAAGAACCTGTCGCTCTCATACGCTCGGGGCCTCGATAGCATCCATAAAAAAAGCCGCATGCACATGTTTACGTGGGGCACAATTTGAATGGACCTATCCCGTGGATGTACGGGAGTTGCATGACCAGAAGCGATAGCAATGACAAGTTTCAGAAAAGCAGTATCCGGCAGTAGGAATAGGCAAAATTGTAGAGCCGAGTCAATGCTCGTAATCAAAGACGATTGCGCCACCACGTAAAACAAAAACAACTGGCAAGTTTTCGATCCTATAAACAACCCGACATAGAGTACAGAGTGCGACAAGCCTTTTTCAAGCCGGGGAATGGGGGTCTCGAAACGCGGCCCGATTTTCCGGACTCATGCCAGGCGGCTGCACGGTTCAGGGTTTAGGGGTTTAGCGCTTGGTTTAGGGATTTAGGGTTCGGCGTTTGCAGCTCTTCACGTCTCTAGGCTGCAGCGGCCTAGCATCCCATCCCGAACCCGTGGTGTCCCGAAGGGTCGTGGACAGCCAGCAGCCGATAGCCAGCAGGCCCAAACTTAGCATGAAGATGTATGAGAGCCATGACTTCCAAAGCCCAAACCCTAAACCCTAAAGTCTAAATCCTAAACCCCGTATTTCCACACCCTACTTTAACCCCAAACAACCTACTTTTCGACGGACTTAACTATAAAGAATTCATAATAAGGAACACTAAAAAAAGTTAGGTTCTTTAGGGTGCAGGTAAGCCCTAGGCCCCGGAGGGAAGTTGCTTGGCTTCAGCGAGGGAGTTGGGACCAGGACGAGAGTTTGGTTCCCGGCGCTATAGGCTTGGATCTGAGGTTTGGGTCGGGCATCCTGTCCAGAAGGGTCCTCGTTTCTTTAAGGGTTCCTTTGCAAGGCTCTTCGGATTTAGGGTATAAGGGTCCATGTACCCAAATAGTATATACCTTGGCCCTAAAGTGCCTAAATAGAGACTACTTTAAGACTTTAAGGCCAAAGACTGTATTACTTTGGGGTGCATGGACCCTGGGCTGTGTTTAAAAGGCCTCTTCTCGGCGATGTGCGAACTCGTTGTTCTCAGGACCACGTTTGCTCCGTGCAATCCACAGCAGGTGGGCAAACCCGGACCAGTCGCACATCGTGAGTTGGGGGTTTCCGAAAATAAGGGTACCTTATTTTGGGGTCCTTATAATAGGGATCCTACTATTTGGGGTACTATATTAGGGTCCCCTATTTTCGGAAACTCCCAGTTATCCAGAAGCGACTTAGACTTTGGACTCACGATGCGACAACCCTGGTGTCCACTAAACCCTAAACCCTAAACCCTTAACTTAACCCTAAACCCTTAACCCTGCCTCGCGATGCCATTCGCGCACGTATGTCTATATACTCAACTACAGCAATGGCAGCGATGGGTGAACTAGTAAGGTTGAGCAGCTTATAAAGGAAACTCTGTATAGTCTAGATACAAGAAACCTGACTGCGTCACATCCAAAGCCCGGAAAGTGTCTTATCGAAGCAGTGAGCAGTAGAACAAGACTGGCACAATCAGAACACGCCCCCAAAAGGCGACTCCCAGCAGCTTGCATCAGCAGCGGCAGCAGCTTCAGCTTTTGCGCGAAACAACATGGGCCTCTCGCGGATGCCGTGGTGCAGCGTCTTGGCTTCGCTCGGGAGGCGAAAACACACGAGGCTGATGACGCTGTGCTTGTTGAAGCTTGCGACAACTGTGCAAAATGCGAGGATGACGACGACACTCCTGATGATGGTGATGGTCATGATGATGACGATGAGGAAATGATGGTGATGATGATCATGATTGTGACGATGATGCCGATGCTGTTCTTTGTGGATGGTGATGCTTTTCGGCACTGGTGGCGGTGGCGGTGGCGGTAGTGCTGGTGGTGGGTGTGGTCGTGGTGAGGCTGACTATGGGTGGCAGTTCTGTCTTTGCCAGCACTGCTGTCTTTGTCATGCAAGTGGCACAGGCCCGACGGAGATATAGTCGTTCAGATCTGAAATCACCTCGGTGCACAACATTACGGGCATGTGCCGGGAGGTTCAAGCTATGACAACCCTGAACTCTGGGTCTGCGGTTTAGGGTTTAGGGTTTAGGGTTTAGGGTTTAGGGTTTAGGGTTTAGGGTTTGGGGTTTAGGGTTTAGGGTTGTTGACAGTCTCAGGTAGGATGCTGGGAAGCTTGAGATCGCAAGTTAGAAAACGTCTAGGGCTCCTGTTACTCGAATAGTGGGTCGCTGACCAAATATACTATGCAAGCCAGTAACCCAGTGTTGAGGAAACTGGAGCGCTAGGGAATGCTACTTGGAACATTCTTCGACGACGAGCACCTAGAACAATGTACGGGTTCTTATGTTGAGAAGGATGCTGGAGGACTACATGGGAGTTTCCGAAAATAGGGGACCCTAATATAGTACCCTAAATAGTAGGATCCCTATAATAAGGACCCCAAAATAAGGTACCCCTTATTTTCGGAAACTCCCACATCTAAAACTTGTCCAGGTGCTCCTGTTTGCGAATTCGCCCACTGCAGGGATTCATCCTGCCAGCAGCATCAGGCTGCGGCTCGGGATGACTGGAATTGGGTTTAGGGTTTAGGGTTTAGGGTTTAGGGTTTAGGGTTTAGGGGTTGAGGGGTTTAGGGTTCAGGGTTTGGGATTCAGGGGTTTAGGGGTTGAGGGGTTAGGGTTTCGGGAGCAGGGGGGGGCATGTTGTAGTCCCGGCAGCAACAGTTCAGGTGCCGTCCACAGTAGTTGCGCGAAATCTAAGACCCAGAGATAAACTCAACATATTCTTGGGCTTCGGGTCGACCTGTCATGGAGTTGAGGGACATAAGGTTTAGTCTTTCATGTTGTTGAGGGATTCAGGGTTTAGGTATTGACGGCTCGGCATTTAAGGACTCGTATGTGTACCTAGTTGGGCCCAACGAGCGTACGTTGTACGATTTTTTTCTGCGTTTTAAGCCTGAGGACGAAATACCAAAGGGGCCGGTGCACGTACAGTCTTACAGGGAGCATAGTAATCCCTTGATAACCTGCAGCCCGGCACGTCTGAAGGAGCCGATCCTGGAAACGTGCTACGTACGAAAGGGCTGCATAGGCCTTCTTGTCTGTGAACTCAATCGGTTATTCTAAACCACGATACAAAGGAAAGCATATGATTCACTATTCAGTGATATGAAACAGCCGCGGAAGCTCAATGTGCACTACATTTCGAGCTGACAGTATGCAAATAAATATGCTTCCGTCGGACTATCTTGAGGAAGGATCGCCGGAGTTGAGCCGCATAGACCCTAAACCGTTGCCCGCAGTATCCGATGCCACAAAAATGCCATTAAGCCTCTCCTTCGTCATGACACACATCTTCACATAACCCTAAACCCTAAACCCTAAACCCTATAAGTTTGTTTGGGGTAATAGGAGCCTTAGAAGCCAAAACACGGCTCCTGAGGGTTCGTTCCTTCATATAAGTATACTATAGGCTATACCCCAAAACCCGGTTCTGAATCATTCAGGCCCCTTTATTAGGCCGGATTCCTGAAGGTCCCTTTTATACATTATTACAATGCCACGATACCCTAAACTCCATACCCAAAACCCGGCTCTGAATCATTCAGGCTTTGCCGATAGGACCCATAGTAGTTCCTTTTTGGGATTGCCTAATAGGATCCTAAATGAAAGCCACCAAAAGGAACGACTATGGGGGCCTAGGGGTGTGCTCAGAGACTCCAATATCCTTAATTAAGGAATATACCTCAAATTATAGTAGGATCCCTAATATGATTCAAGGTATATTCCTTAATTAAGGGGTATTGGGGCCTGTGGGTGTACGAGGCCAGGACGGGGAGTGCCTGGCTGCATACTTGCCTGGCCATTGAGCGACCTGCCGAGGTCAGCTGAAGATCGAGGATGTAGGGGCCTTTTAATAGATGTTTCACGGATATTCTACTATAGTTATAATAAGGAACCCCCAACTTCGCGTGGGAAGGGTGGAGTCTGATTTAAGGGCCTTAACATTAGAATAAGGTTTTGGCGGACAGTGTACTATAGTTATAATAAGGAACCCCAAGAATAGTGTCGGTACTTATTTAGGCCCCTATTTTGGGGTGCAGCCACATGTACAAGTGGAGCCTTGGTCAAGGTTTTGGTTGGGATGTCCAGTGTGTTTCATAGGGTTTAGGGGTGGGCTGGTACTTGAGGTTTCATACGGTTAATGGTATAACCCGTTTATAAACCCTGCATTATCCATAATAAGGAGCATACCACGATTCCCATAGTTTAGGGTCCTTTAAAGTACTGCAGGATTCATATCATGAACAGTAGCTCTGCAAAATGCAAGTTATAAGCATCTGGACGGGCTGCGTGCGGTCATAACTCTTGTTGCCTGACTCCTAGGCGGGCGTTCAGCAGTCTCACTCAGGCTAAAACAGGAGCCATCGTGATTTCAAAATGTGTATGTATATATGTATACACATTTATGTATATATATATATATATATATGTGTTATGTACATATATATATATATGTATGTATATATATATATATATGTATACATGTACGTTTTGAAGGAGGTGGCATGTATTTCAGTATCAGGTCCCTATATTAGCATCATGCTGCCATTCCCAATCTTAACTAGCGAAAATAAACCATATAACGGTAAACCGTTAATCCCCTAGCATGGTAAGGCCTCCGACGAGGTCAGCATATTTCACATCGTGGGCCACGTTCGTCCTGCAACATTTCTGGAACCGGTCAAAGGATTCGGGTTTGGGGAGCATATGCACAAAGAAGGACACATTATAGTATAGCTGCAGGCTGCAATCCAGTCGGAGCTGACATCTGCAGGGTCCCAACCGCTAGTTTTAGATTCTCAGTCGTGCAACATTCGTCAGAAACCCTAAACCCTAAACCTGAACCAACCGAAATCCAACATCATCCATGCACCGACCTAGAGGACTGTCAGTTCAGAGCCGCATTTACTAGGGGCCTTAATAATTAGAATAGGGTTTCATAGGGTTCCTTTAAAGGGTTCCTCAAAAGGGCTCTATAAGGGCTACTGTAAGGGTTTATTGTTTAGGGGCCTTAATAATTAGAATAGGGTTTCCGGGTATGTATGATGCTATATAGTTATAATAGGCAAGCCCCCACAATAGCATTGGTAATTATATAGGCCCAATTTAGGCCCCTATATTAAGCCCCCCTCTTTCCGCTTTGGGCATCAGGATTCCGACTCCTTGCGGGAGGCTTGGGGGTTCTGTACGGATGTAGGGCCGAATATTACCCAAAGGGTTTAGGGTTTTAGGGTTTAGGGTTTAGGGTTTAGGGTTTAGGCTTTAGGGTTTAGGTTTTAGGGTTTAGGGTTTAGGGCACCGAAGATTACCCAAAGGGCCCAAAGTACCAATGTAGTAGAATGTCGGGCTTCTATATTAGGATTCCTTACAATGATTTGGGGAAAGTATCTCCCCTAACAGTACCTAGGACCCTTTGGGTTAGTAAGGGCTTAGGATGTAAGCACAGTAGGGGTTAGGGGCTTCGTTGTGCAAGGGCTTAGAGCTTAAGTGAGCACCAACCGCAGTTCGGGCTCACAAGCTTTAAGCCTTAAGCCCTAAACCCTTGCCATAAGCCCCTCAACACCAAGAGGAGCTGAAGAAACCCGTCAGAGAAACCCAAGCGAGGCCTGGAGGATGCTATAGGGGGCTTGACAAATGGAATAAGGCTCCTGCAAGGATAACCTTTGACAGCTACTAAACTAAAACGGTGTACTATAGGGGCCTTCAGACTATGTTAGAATAGGGTTCGGGGAACTATCATATTAATATACGATACCTATAGGTTGAGGGACGCCAAGGAATAAGCACTAGTAATCATTCAAGCCGATAGTCGCGGTTCAGGGTGTTCGGTTTCGATGGTACTTCTTTCGTACACCCAGCTTCAATGCCACAGGTCTAAACCCTTAACCCTATCATACCCTGGACTCTAAACCCAAAGCCCTAAAGCCTGAACAAAAATGCCCAATGTCTCCCCACTGCATGCTGCACCCATGCCACCAGCCCCTTGTCCACCCAGAGACATCAAAACCCTTCAGTGAGGAATAGACCCTTAAGGGTTCCTCAAAGGGATCTATATCTATAAGGGAATTATGGGATATACTTTAAAGTATAATAGGCCGGGTCGACGAGAGGCGGCAACTGGTCGCCACCCCCTGTTGTTCTCGGACAGTTCCTTTGCCAAGTTCTGGAGGGTTTTGCTTTTTATGGCCGCCCCGAACGACATAAACTTTACCTCTGGCCACTGCCATTGATGGCGCCTCGACCAGAACTGTTGCTCCTGCTGTCTGCAACTCGATGCGCTGCACTGACCCGTCTGCCACCATCTTAAGATGCTCGTCAAGCTCTGCACTGTGCTCAAAACGCGAGCGGCGGTAAGCGGAGACACAAACACCCCCGGGTCTTCGTGATCCACGAGCTCCACTTTCTGTGCCAGGTCATCCACTTTATGCTTGCATAGCTGCCTTTTACTGAGAGCTGAATTCAAAAGCACTGGTTGATGAAGTGAGCATCTAGTAGCAGTGGACGGATACGGCCTCTATGTTCCAACTACTGCAAACCAAAAGCTCTCTGGCATGGCTATGAACCTCAACTGCTCGAACCCGAAAACCTTATCAACATCCTGGGAAGAGGTTTGAGGAACCTTGTAAACAACGACACCATAAAACAGTAGGTCAGGAGATTCGGGTCTTTGCGACTCTTCCCTGAACTCTAAACCCAAAGCCCCAGACCCCAAACCCCTAAACCCAAACCCCAAACCCCTAGCCCCTAAACCCTACCTACCCCTAAACCCTGAAACCCTAAACTCTTCTCTGCCAGGGCCTGAATCGGAGGAGGTTCGTGAGCTGATCTGGCTGTAGAATATCCTGACACTTGGGGTTTAGGGTTTAGGGTTAGGGGGTGTAAAACAAGAACTACAAGCGTGGATGCTACAAGGATACTATACGTACCACAAGGCTCTCTGAGTAGAATATCTTTACACTGTGTGGCTTTAGAAACTGGGTTTCGCTTTGGCTTCTTGGGTCCTGATAATTCTCTTGGAGTTCGGCTTCAACAGTGTTGCGGCTTGAGCATCCTTGAGGTGAAATGTTGAGATACCCCCCCCGTCTTGTGGGGTCTCCATGCCAGTGCATGACTGAATACTACTTGGGAAAAGGTAATGGCAATATGTCTGGCAAAATACAGTTCCAATGACACACACACACACACCGTTGCTAAGTCTGGACATTCTGGAGCCTGATGGTACTCTCGATGTGCATGCGCGGACTGCGACTTTCAATCGCAGGACGGTTTGGGGTCACGACCGAATTTGAACTTAGCCTTGTCTCACAAGTCGAACTGCCAATTTACTGACTGAGTACTTGGCCGAGTACTGGGGCTTATGGCTTAGGACTTTCAGGGCTTAGAGTGCTCGGGGTTCTTCTGGCTCACGACTCCTTCGTAGAAATCTCAGGTTGGATTTAAGAACCAGTTTAGCGCCCAATACTTACGAGTGAGAGACCTGCATTGCTGGGTAGTTTCAAAACTCAAGGATAGCAGACGCATCTGAATAACACGCCGAACTGACACAATATGAACACGTATCTGCATAACGCAAACGAAACATCAAGCGAACCCTGGAATGAATGCGGCCCCGCCCCAGTGCCCCAGTCTTCAGCCCCTCTACCCTGAGCCACGCCCTGTAGTACTACAGCCCCCTTGGACATCCATTAGGAACACGACGGCGGCTGGTTAATCCCGCTGCGTTAGATTATATAAACACACATCCGTACTTAAGTGAACAGCAGAGTGCCTCAAGCATGAAGGAGAGCGGTCCTCCAGCATGTGGCTGCGGACGACCAACTCAGTATGCCGGCAAGGTTTTTGGCTTGGCGCGTTTCCGGCAAGCCTTAAACCCCGAGCCATGAGGCCCTAAACCCTTTGCAGGGCTTCGCTTTTGTGGCACCTCTCGTTGGTGGTTGGAATGTCCGGTCGAGGGACACGTCGACCCTACCGGGGTTTAGGGTTTAGGGGTTAGGGTTTAGCGTGGAATCTCTCTCTCTCTCTCTCTCTCCATTAAAGGCCTGGAAATAGCGTGTTGGAATGTTCGCTCAGGAGGGATGGGGCCATGAGGAAATCCGGACACAATACCACAGTTAGAGCCCTCATAGCTAGCAGTGCGAACACCACCCTACCTTGACTGCAGAGGCATTTGTGTTGATGGAAGAACCGGCAATGCGAAGCTGTCACCCAACAGCCATCATACAAGCACCCTAAACCCTAAACCCTAAACGAAACAGAGCCTAAAGCCTGAAGCCCAATCTCTAAAACCCTAAACCCTAGCTCAACTGCTTGTCTGCAAGCAGGTGGCGACGAAGCCGATCTGAGTGAAGATGTTCCTCGGATCTTGAAGCTAGTCTACGGTAGGGGCCTTATATGTTTGGTTCATACCTTTAAAGTGCAGTTGTTCAGGCGTCTATATCACTTAGAGCTAGTCACATGGGCCTGAGAGAAGTTCGAGGGAATGTAACTTCAATGTTCACCATCATGCCAAAATCCAAAACCGAGCATGTCGACAATACCGTGAGCAGACACTACTGCAACAGTTTGCCAGGTTCCTTCTCGGAAGTTTACATGTGCCAAACCGTGGCCGCGACCGCTTGGAACTGAGTATATGTACTTGCGCTGCACCTACTTTGGCTTACCTGAAACTTGGGACACTTCGCAGGAGAATAGAGAGCCTCAAAACCCCAAACTCAGAACCCTCGAACATTCTGCCATAACTCCATGTACAGTCTCCAAAACCCACAACTCACTCAAGCCTCTGCCTATGGTTTGGGCTACAGTTGCACAACTGGTACGGTACTGTTTTGATATAGCCTGTTGGAAGAAACCTACACCATTGACATGCAACTCTGTAGGAGGGTCGGGGGACTTGTAAGTAGTTATTATGCAGATTTATAAGTATCATAACCCCAATTAGGGTCCCTGTTAGGGTGCTTTTAACTGTACTTGTTATGTACTTACTAAGTAAGTCCCTTGACCCTCCAAGCAGTCTTTTGTGATCTGGAGCCTTCTGACAAGCAACCCAGGGAATTTAAACCCCTTGAAAACACTGGACTAAGAGACCTACTGTGATTCAGAATGAGTATCCCCTAAACCCTAAACCCTAAACCCTAAACCCCTAAACCCTAAACCCCTAAACCCTAAACCCTAAACCTTTTATATGGCTTTGTGGTATTCAGAGGGGATAAAGAGGTTGTTCCTGTAGTGAAGATAGGATGTTTTGAGCCTCCGAGTTGGGGGATTGCGGGTCATGACTAGTTACCCTAAACCCTATATAGGGTTTAGGGTTTAGGGTTTAGGGTTTAGGGTTTATAAACCCTATAAACCCTACACCCCAAGCCCTGACAAGTTGCAACAGCAGCAGAAATCCAGCCAGCGCGGAGTCCCATTTGCTCAAGGTTGGCAGGCCGATGAAGAGACAGGCATCCTAAGGAGCGTGGGCTTCAGGGCTTTGGGGGGGTTGAGGTTTCGGGTTTAGGAGAATTTAGGAGGGTTTAGGAGGGTTTAGGGCTTCGGGGTTTAAGGATTTTAGGGTTTAGGGTTTTAGGGTTTAGGGTCCAGGGGATTAGGGTTTTAGGAGTTCCGAGGTTTAGAGTTGAAGGGCGGCGGCGTGCTTTACTCTTGGATTGGAATGCGAGGATTCGCGTCGTCGGCGTTGGGGTGCCCTAAACTGTGCAGGAAGGCCGCGTGTTCGTCAAGGGCTCGTACCCGCTGCTTTCATAGCTGAAACCAGAGCTCTTCCAGGAACGATGTTTTTGGATCTCTGCCGAGGAACAAAAGCTTTCCAACTCAAGCGTAGTGGTCTTGAACGGAACAATATTACGGTTAGGGTTTACGGGTGTTGGAGTAGGGTAAACCGAGCCTACCGAGGAAACACAACCCCCTTTAAGAAAGCCATGCTGCCCAGACGGAGTGCTGAAGCTCGTAGCACGGCCCTTTGGTCGTAATTCCTGGCAAGGGTTGGGGAGGCCAAAGTGCTTCGGAAGCGGAGACAGCAAGAACGGAAGAGTGGCAAAATGGTCACCCAAGCTTTGCTTTGGGGCTTAGGGTTTAAATGTTACAGGTAAATGCGGAGGAAAAAAATCGAATCTGATTCAGACCTCCCTAAACATTACAAGCCCTCAACTCGTAAACTACCTAACCCAAAACCCTGAACGGAATCATGAGTAAGCTCTACCTGAAAACGTCTGCTGTGTCTCAGTGTTAATAGACGAAGTCAGCCCCGGAAGGACGAAAAAGCAGACGAGGCTGCCGAGTCCCTCAGCCCTAAGCCCTACTAAGCCCTAAATCGTAAGCTACCAAACCCCAAATCCTATACTCTGAGCCCAAAAAAGCCTTCAAACCCCTAAAACACTAACGACTTCGCCTCTCCGACCTTTTCGGTACAACCTCATGTCCATGGTTTAGGGTTTAGGGTTTAGGGTTTAGGGTTTAGGGGTTTAGTGGGATCGGTAGGTGCTATCAAAGACATAATGCTTTTGGTCAGAATTGCCGTCATTGACCAGGGCTTATGGGACTTTGTTGCAGCCGATGTAAAGATAATCCAGCACCTACATGAGCCAGGGACCTAAGCAATTTTTGTTCAAGGGCGGGAAGTGGCGGCTTGTTCAAGAGAATGGTGCTTTGGGGCATTTAAGCTATACTTCAGACCAGCCTATGCTGTTACAACAACCTATAGCAATTGGATATGCTTTCTAACTATGCCGACCCCTTCGTCTATTCAAGACCACGAGTTCCGGTATCCTAACAAAGCGATCCTCTTGGTCGACAGGATTCCTTCTAATCCTAAACCCTAAACCCCAAAGGTTCACTTTAAGCCTTCCTATACGGGTTCCTTCAGGGGTGGGTTCCTTTCAAGGTGTAGGGTTTAGGCTTCCTTTCAGGATTCAGGGTTTAGGCTTTAGGGTTCCTATTCAGAATCCCAAAGCTTCTTGCGCCGTACGACTTCCGCACCCCTCCCCAAGAAAAAAGAACGGAGTCATTTAATTAGGTTTCAGGGTTCTAAATTTAAGGGCCTACCAGCACCCCCCCCCTACCCTTTCCCTAAAAACACACTATTAAGGACCATAAGGGCTCTATTAAAGGGTACTATAGGGTTTGGATGTAGGGTGTTCGGCTTAAGTTTGCTGTGTGATTGCGGCGGAACTCCGGGGACCGCTGGCAAGGAGCCATCGCGTATCTCATCTCCGTTCGATGTGAAGAGAGCCTTCAGGGTTTAGGTTTACAGGGTTGAGGGTTTATTATAGGGTGATACATCAGGGCTGAAAAGCTTTCGTTGCTGTTGCTTGTGAATCCTCGCGTTTGTCGGTTCCAAGCTTCAGGCCCCAGGCACTAACCAACCACCAAGTTCGGAGTACTACGACTTGAGATTCATGATTTCATCTGCACAGTAACACCGAAAATGCCAAGCATCGGAACAGTGAGAACAGCAGCTGTGTCCGAGTACTCACAGAGAGATGAACACAAAGCAACACCTGATATATCAGTCACTATGCGAAACTGCCTACGCAGCTACAGACAGAGCCTTCACGATCAGCAGCCTTGCTTTACGGATACCCTTAGCCCTATTCAGCGCGTGTGTCTTTGCCAGTGATGTAAACAGATCAGCAAACCAAAGCACTGGTAATAGAGGGGCCTAAATACTTGCCAATACTATTTTGGGGGCTCCTTATTGAAATTATTGTATAGTATAAACCCAAACCCTATTCTAATTATTAAGGCCCCTGTATTACTCGAGGGCGTGAGACTATGCAAAGACGAAGCCTCAGTAGCTGACACCCCACGAACTGCAGCTCCGGCATAATTCGGAATAATATGGGGGCCTCAGCCTTATTGGTTAGAATAGGGTTTTGGGGTATATTATACCGTATTTATAACAAGGAACCTTCACAATAGAATTTGTAATTATTTAGGCAATATAGGCCGCTGTATTACTTCCTTCTGTCGGACAAACTCAAACTGCTGGACTTTCTTGAGCACCCTATACGTATGTGAATGAAGCCCTAAGGCAAGCCATTTCCGCTTGGGTGGCCTCCTCGAAGCGCTCCGACTGTGTTTGGATCAGCTCACTGGACGAGACGCTGTAACCCTGGCGGCACCGCGGGGAGGGGACTTAGGCAGTCCTGATCTAGACAGCGAAAAACTTTGTGCGCTCCAAGAAATCTCGGGAAAGTACTATGTATAGTGTATGTATGTATATGAACACGGACGTAGGTATGCATGTAATGAAGTATGTATGTATGTACATACGTATGTATGTATGTATGTATGTATGTATGTATGTATGTATGTATGTATGCATGTATGCTTGTATGTACATATGAAGGGAGGTGGGTATTCGCGTACACAGGTAGGTCGGTAGTCAGGTCGGTAGGTTAGTCGGTAGGTAGGTAGGTAGGTAGGTAGGTAGGTAGGTAGGTAGGTAGGTAGGTAGGTAGGTAGGTAGGTAGGTAGGTAGGTACGAAGGGATGCAGGAATGAAGGAATGAACGAACCAATGAAGGACTGAAGGCATGAAGCAATGAATGAACGAATGGGACGTAAAGAAGGAAGGACGGAAGGAAGAAAGGAAGGGAGGAAGGAAGGCCTGAAGGGATGAAGTAATGAATGAACAGCTGTTTGAATGATTGCAAAAACGAACGAATAGATCAATGAATGGATGCCGGTATCCACGAACGAATAGATGCAGGAATTCAGCGACGGAGCAACTAAGGAACGAACGAAGTAAACATTATGTATGACTGAATGTGACAGGTCGGTAGGGGTAGGCAGGCACGCAGCAAGGCCGGACGGCCGGTCGATCGACAGATATGGACAACTGTATGTATGATCATGTATGTACACGTATGAGTATTCTTGTGTATATATTACTGCAGTATGGTATAATCTACTGTAGAATAAGGAACCATATGACCTAGTCTAACCAAATCTCATAAACCCTGAACCCTGAAACCTAAACCCCTAAACCCTAAACCCTAAACCCTGAACCCTGAAACCTAAACCTCTAAACCCCTAAACCCCTAAACCCTAAACCCTAAACCCCTGAACTCTAAACCCAAAACCCCGGCTTTCGGGTTTTTGGGCCAAGGGTTTAGGGTTTAGGGTTTAGGGTTTAGGGTTATATATATATATATATGTATATATATATATATATATATTTTTTGAAGTCTTACCCCTAACCCCCTGAACTCTAAACCTTAAACCCAGGGGTTTCGTTTTTTGGGCCAAGGTGCATCTTCCAGGTTCCTTAGCTGACTTCTGAACCCCTCCTAAAAGTTAAACTTTTAGCATCCTTAATATAGTTCCTATAGAAACCCCAAAAAGTTAAAGTCCTAAGAGCCAAACCCTAAACCCTAAACCCTAAACCCTAAACCCTAAACCGAACCAGAAGAACACCAAGGTTCTTTTGAAGAGTCTGAAGTCGCCGGAGGGGGTCTTCTGCGGACGGTTCTCGGTGGCTTTGTTTCAGGGTTTTAGGGTGTAGGGTGTAGGGTTTAGGGCTTAGGGCTTAGGGTTTAGGGTTTAGGGTTTAGGGTTTCGGATTTGGGTTTAGGGTTTAGGGTTTAGGGTTTCGGATTTGGGTTTTGGCTTTATACCAGGACCCTCCAAATACCGTCAAATAGGGGTATATGGTCCCCATTTAAAGGTATGTAGGGTCTGATAGATGCTCGCTGGAGGGTCTAGGTAGTGGGCCCCAAAAAGTTGGAACATGGATTTAAGATGAAAAGTGCTGGGACTCCCTATACTCGACCTTACGGGCATGAGGATGATGATATTCCAACTTTCTGGCTTCTACTATATGGGCTTGAGTGCTTCCGGCTTTAAATCGAATACCTTCAGTCAAGGGTTTGTGGGGCGTGCTAAGTTTACCCTAAACCCTAAACCCTGAACCTTGATCTGGGGATTCACGATTTGGGCTGCTGATGGTTGCGGGGTTTGATTCCGGGAATCCGGCTTGAGGGTTCTTAGGATTTGGGGTTATGGGTTTAGGGTTTAGGGTTTGGGGTTTAGGGTTTAGGGTTTAGGGTGTAGGATTTGGGGTTATGGGTTTAGGGTTTGGGGTTTAGGGGTTATGGGTTTAGGGCATAGGGTTTGAGAGTTGTCTTGCTTGGAGACCTACGGGTTTCAGGGCTGAGCACGGGAGAACTAGGATGTCTTTCTAGCTTTTGGACAAGATAGGGTTTAGGGTTTAGGATTTAAGAGCAAAGGAGGTTTGGGTTATAGTTCTTCTCACACCTTGTGCTGCTGGAGACCCCACCCTAAAGCTTGAACATATCCTTTTGTTGATCTTTTGGGGGATTCCCCCACGTTCACTGCTTCGGAAGATTCACGGCACCGTGGGGTCAGAGTTCAGAGCTTGGGGCTTTGGGGGAATTCGTGCATTTGCAGTTACACCTCCCTCCCAACCCCCTCACCATTGCTAACTCCT